AGAAGTAAATGATAATTCTTAATTTTTGTAAACACTATAATTCTTAATTTTTTTCTATCCTTAAAACTTTTTCCTTTTTTTTTTTCAAACCCTAAAAAGCCTAATTAATTAATTTTTTTTTAAAAAAAACCTAAGAGTCCTGATTTTTCTCTAACCCTAAAAATGTTATCATTTTTTAACTCTAAAAAATCCTAATCCTTTAAAAATATTTTTTTTTCAAATCCCAAAAATCCTATTTTTTTTTTAAACCAAAAAATCATTCCTTTTTGCGAGCCCTAAAAAAGTGAATTTTTTCACTCCAAATTTTTTTTTTCTTAACCTAAAAATTAAAATTTTTTAGATCTTAAAAATCAAATCCTTTTCTAACCCTAAAATTATTTCTTTTTTTCCATCTTTATCTATATATATATAATATACATGTTTTTGTTCAGTAAACAAAAAGAGTGAGTTTTCTAAAATAACAAAAATTATTAAAAATATTTTAAATTCACGCAACAACCAATCAATTTTGATAGAGTGGTAAATACACCTTCAACGTTGTTTGGATCGTAAAGATTTATTAAGTAGTCGTGTGCTAACATGAACCCTATACAGGAGTAGATTTACTTAAAAAATAATATAGAAAAATCAAGTTTTTTCTCAACAATAAAGGAAGAAAATCTTTGAAACTTATCTAAAACTCAATTTTTAAAAAAGAACAATGTGGCAGCTTTAATTCATTTGTACTCACGGAGGATACTAGGAATGGGAACCTAACCCATCAAGTCCAAAATTCTTTTTTAATTTTTTCCAAGTTCAAAATTTTTTTAAATTTATTTTAAACTAAGAGTAATTTCAACCATATTTTATTTATAAATAATAAAAACCAAATTTTTTATTTTATTTTATAAAAAATAAAAAAATAAAGTGTCAAGATAAGTTTTTTTTTTTTACAATATGTTTCTTTAATACAAAAATGAAAAAAAATATACTTAATTATGTTTTTGGTCCTTAGAAACATAGGCATTTTTGGTCCTTATAAAATGGGTAAATTAGGAATTGGTCACTATCATTAATTCTCATTCTAGTAAGTGCTGAGCTAGTTAACGGAGAGTCAATTCAACACTCCACGTGGCTTAAAAGAGTCATGGTCAGTTGCCTACATGACTTCATCCTTGCTTAAGTAGTTTGCTGAGATGGATCTGAGGAGGTGGGCCACTTCGTTGTTTTAGAAATAAAAAAATCCCAAATAAAATAAGCTCACTTTGATGTTTTATGTTTAGGATAGACAATGAAAAACCCTAATCTCTTGCTACATGTCGTCTTCTTCCTCTGCAATATCGAAGCCATTGAAAGGATAAAAGGTACAATACAATTTTGGAGCAACAAAATTAATGGCAACAAAATCACGAGCTTCAACATCTTCTTTAGCAGTATCGAAATGACCAGGATAGCCTTTATGTATTTGTGGAGAATTGTTGGTCCTATTTACCTCCAACAGCAAGAAAATTTTGGAAGGGCATTTTGGAGATATCCGAATTGGAAAGTAAGTAATAAATATCCTTCATGAGTAGGTTTTGTATTGTTCATTAAGTTCAAAAATATTTCTTACATTTGGTGTGTGTGAAATGTGCAGTTGAAGGAGTCTTGTAAGTTCTTTGAATGGGTTAATGAAGAAGTTTCTAAGGGAGTGAAATGCCTATGTTCGAATAAGGTTCCAGCAATCATTGAAGAGCATATGCGTAGGATTGTAAAGTTAGAAATGAAACTTGCATGTGAGAAGGCAAAAAGATGGATTCTGTGTTACACAGTTGGAGTTTCTTGGGCCATAATTGTTTTGTTGTTTATGTATTTTGCCATGAGAGGTTAAAATATAGTTTATGTCCACTACAGTAATATAAAATTGCAGTTTTAGAGTTCCGCAATTGTGTTTAGTTTTTGTATTTTTAAGATTTGCACTTGTGTAAATGTGATTAAGTATTATTAATTTAGGTATGTATTTGATGGTGGCTTTAGTCATGTAACCAAATTTATCATAAATGAAATACCTTTTTGTAAATGTCATATTATTGAACAACTGTAGGGGTGTAATGTTTGGATTGTTTAACTGTGGTGTGTAAAATAACCTTATATTCTTTTGTACATTGTTCTTAAATAAAAGTTGTCCCAAAATAACATGTACATCAGGTGTCCAATGTTAATATCTAATTGCAATCTGCTAACAAAATAATTTGTACATTTTAAAAAAGACGTTTCAAAGTTCTGTCAACAGAATACTTGCTATAAGTACATCCAAAATAACCATAATATATTTTGTACATTGTTCTGGGATAACAACTCATCAAAATTACATTCACACCAACAAAATGACATGCAAGTTTGCAATATTATTATCTAACTCTGCAATCTACCAACAGAATAATTTGCACATGTAAACAAAGAGGCTTCTCATAAGTTGTGTCAACATAATATTTTTCATAAGTACATCCAAAATAACCTTAATATATTTTGTACATTGTTCTGGAATAAAAGCTGTCCCAAATAACATCTAATTGTACAAAATAACTTGCAGTAGTCCAGTGTTAACATTTAACTGTGCAAAATAACACTAATTTTGCAATTACATTCAACTGACAACAATATATCATAGATTACATACAACTGTTTTGTACATAATGTTGCATTTGCACATCCAAAAAAAAAATCCTTATTCCCTCTAAGTTAAGCTAGTTGTATCAGGATGTGCAGCAGAAATTGGGTCAGCAACAACAACATTAGATTGGCTTGCAGTAAGGACTAATGATTGTGATCCTTGTGGAGTGTTTTTTGAACCAAGTTGTGCTCCCCTTGGTCTTCCTCTTCCTCTCCCTCTTCTTATTCCTATTCCATACACTTAGTTCAATGGTTCCTATAGGAAAAAAGATAAATTGTTAATAATATGAAAACAAAATATAAAATCATAATGCTATCACTATTAAATTGTTTACCTACCTGCTGAACTGAAGTGTTTGGACAAGCAGTCCTGTTATGTTCAAACATTTGACAATTGCTACATTTATTTTGGGAATGTGTCCTCCTTAGCCTTCTTGGATTTAGTTCTTCAATAGGATCCTTTCTCCTCTACTTTTTTGGCCTGCCTGATCCCCTCTTGTAAGAAGGTGGTAAAATGACACTCTCTTCTATCTGTGGCCATCTGTTTTGACCATTAATTGAACTAATATAATAGTCATAACATCTCATATATGCTTCCTTACTATAATATTGGTGAACATAATGGATTGAATTTTCTTCCTTATAGAAATTTGTAGCACAAGCATGTATACATGGAATGTCAACCAAACTCCAAAAGTTACATGAACAGTAATTTGAGCTGAGGTCAACAACAAATTTTCTATGAATAAAGTAAGTGTGACCTCAAATTTTAACTCTCCAGTCCATGTAGGAAACCGATTTGCACTATGTTCTATTTCCCTTTCAAGCCTTCTCTCTTAGGTTTAGGCATGACACCCTCTTGCAATTTATTGTCTTTCTCTCGTAGAGTGGAGAATATTCCCATTAAATACAACCTAATCCACTCTAACATACTTATAATAGGTTTATCTCTAGCAAGCAAAATAGTGCTATTGAAAGTCTCACATAAGTTGTTTATATTAAGATCACATCTAGAATATGGACTAAAACAATATTTTCACCAACTTTCTTTAGGGATGACAGACAACCACTAATAAGCTCTTAAATCTAATTCTTTTATTTAACTCATTTTCTCCTCCCAAGCTTCTAAGTAGGTTGTTTTAGATGCCCCTATATAATAATACTGTATAAGTGGCTAACATAATACTAATGCTCTACTCCCATTACCAGTTCATCAAAAACTTGGACTAGACCCCAAAAATAATAATAATAGAAAAACAATGTTAGTATTTAGTCCTTCAATAAATAAATATTTTAGAATTTAGTCCATATAGCAGATTGTACATAAAATTGATACTAGAAAATCATTACACTTGCCTTTTGTGCCTTGTCACAACTATACTGGATTTGACTTTCTTTTTAAGACGTTTTTAACTATCATCTTAAAACTTTTTAAGTATGAAGTAAGGAGGGAGTGGAAATTTTGTAGCTTGAGCCAAATTTTGTTTAAACTTTATTTGTAGTTATGGGTATGTTTATATGTTGAAAAGTCATTACTGATTAAATACTCCCAAGAGAAAGACTTAAAGGAATTTTGTTCCCCATTAACTTAAAATATTTATGAAGTTCTATTTTAAAGAAAAAATAATACTGCATGCACATAAAGGTTATCTTGTTTGAAGGAATAATAATAATAAATAAATAAAAACCAAGTTTAATCATAAATGTGCTTTAAAGAGTTGAGTTTGTTTGGATGCTGACACACTAGTAATAACAAACATAAATTTCACTTTTGTAGGACCTCCATGATTATGAAGGAAAACTAATGTTTCTTGAATATTAAAATGGAATTGCATAATTTTTTTTTATTTTAAAGCATACTTTTGATATGTATATATAAGAAGAATAATAAATATATAAATAAAAATAAAAATAATTATATATTAAATTATGTACTATTTTTTTCTATCTAGTTTAATTTGGTCCGATCTAGGTTGGACACCTATATATGGTGGATAAATCTATTACTAGTAAATTTTTTATATATATAAAAACTCAAACTAAAGATATTATTTAAGTGATACTGAGTCACTTGCCATTCAAATTAACTTCTGTTAGTATGTATTGTTATTTTTTAGAATTTATTTAGTTATTCACTAGCATAAATATTTGTATTTTAGGTAGACAAAAAAGTTTATATATTATATTAAAAATTATATTTTTTTATTGAATTTTCCGTTGAAATTCAATTAGTTTTATGAAATAACTTAGATCTCTAATATTCATGTAAATATTGAATAGAATGTTGACAAGAATTTGCAAAAGCTACTGAGCTAGTATAAGACAAGGCCCTCCCTGGCCTCCACTGTTTTTCACACACTACACAGCACTCCACTCTCACCCACCATGTTTCCTCAGCCATGGATGTTGGTAGCTATAATCAGTGCAACCTTATTACCCATGTCCTCAAAGGTTATGTCCTTTCCACAAGCTGATAAGGTGAAAACATTGCCTGACCAGTCACCTGTTTCTTTCCAACAATTTGCTGGCTATGTAGCTGTTGATGACAAGAATCAGAGAGCTCTTTTTTACTACTTTGTTGAAGCTGAAACCAACCCTTCTTCAAAACCTCTAGTTCTCTGGCTAAATGGAGGTCAATCAATATCTATTGTCAAACAACTTTATCTGGGCTTTATCCACAAATTTATTATCAATCTTGATTATTTCGTGTCACCATTTCTTTTTTTACCTAGAGCTTTACATTAAGCATGAAGTTTTAGAATAATTGATTCATGATTTTTCATTAGAACCTTTATGACCATGTAGCCTAAAGTTTATTAGATTAAGCTTTTAGAATAATTGCTTGAACCTTTGAATTGCTTTATTGCTCTTGCAGGGCCTGGGTGTACATCTGTTGGGATTGGAGCTTTTACTGAACATGGTCCTTTTGTTACAAACCAAGGAAAGACTATTGTGAAAAATCAGTATAGTTGGAACAAAGGTGCTGCAAATTTTCCAACCTTATCTCTATGCCACAAACTAAGCTAATTAGCTAGGCTTACTACCTGAGCTTCTTGCTTTTGTAGAGGCAAACATTTTGTACCTTGAATCACCAGCAGGCGTTGGATTCTCTTATTCTGACAACCTGTCATTTTATCAAACACTTAACGACGAGGTCACAGGTTCACTTTCTTATCCCTATGCAACCCATTTAATTTTATTATTTTTTCTTTATTTTCTGTTTTGAGCATTTATAGTCAAATTTTAATAAATACATTAAAAAAAGAAAAGTAAGTCAATTGAAACTAAAAAGCTCATATACTTTGAAACGGTATGTGTCCGTGTGGTATCATGACGAATATGTATTTATGTTCCCTTCATGGATACTTTTATTTATATTTTATATATATATTTTTTTAAAATGAACTTTTATAGCAATAAAGATGAAAATATTATAATAATTATATAAATGATTTAATTTTATTATATCTAAAATGACTTATACTAAAATTTAAATTTTCTTTTCTTAAGATTTGTATTTTTATATTATTTTTTTTTACTGATTTTATGTATTATATTATAGTCAAACAGTCATGTCGTGTCCTATAATTTTTAAAATTTGCTGTATTCTCGTATCCTTGTCATATGTATATGTGTCTAGTATTGTATTCATGCTTCTAAACTGAAAGTACTTTTTTAAAATAATAATGTTTATAAATTTATTTTAACTGACAGGAAGTTTAATTTATTTTAGTTTTGAATTTTTTACAAATATATTTTAAAAAATTATCCAAACTAATCTATCTGTTCTTTGGTGGGTGCACCTTTCGATTTTTCTAGATTCCCTTCACGAGTAGAATAAAAAACTGACATTATGTCTATAATGTTATTTGTTTCTCTAGCCCAAGACAACCTGGTTTTCCTGCAGCGCTGGTTTGCCAAGTTCCCAGAGTACAAAAATAGAGATTTTTATATAATCGGAGAGAGTTATGGAGGTAAAGAGACAATAATTTACACTGAAATTTGCATATAAAATCTATGATTTTTCTATTTCATGTAATATATGTATATAGGTTACGAGAAATTAAACACGTTGTATTAAATGCTTTTTTAATTACTAAAAAAATAATCGTTAAATGATTTTGAATTTCTGATATAGTAAATATTTTCTTTTTCGAAAAAAAGCTTTTTATATCATTCCCTTTACCTCTCATGCATAAGACAGGATAATATCTATAGCTAACACTGACAATGTTGGTTTTGTGGCAGGTCACTATGTACCTCAACTTGCTGCACTCATTATTAAGAGCAAAGTGAATTTCAATCTTAAGGGCATAGCAGTGAGTAATAAATATGAGCCCTTGAGCCTTTAATTTATTCTTTTTTTTCTGATTATTACCCTTGAGCCCTTGAGTGTTTATCTAAGAGCGTGTTTAGATTTACATTTAAATAATAATAGGCTCATATTTTTTTAATGCTACCAACTGTAGCTTCTATATTGAATTCGCCTTCACAGATTTTTGGCCTATTTTAAAACTGAAACTGAGATAATTATCTCAATTCTCTCCTTCCAGATAGGAAACCCTCTTCTGGATTTTGACACTGATATGAATGCAGTTGATGAATATTACTGGTCTCATGGAATTATAACTGATTATGCTTACAAAATCAGGATCTCTCTATGTAATTCGTCTAGAATATTCAGAGAAATCTTGAGTGGCCAAATTTCCAAGGATTGTCTGGTTGCAGCTAGAAAAGTCTCAGAAGAATATTCTTTTACAACTTCCATTGACCCATATTATGTTACTGGAGATAAATGTCTTTCTTACAATGTTTCTCAGGCAGGTTTTCTTAGGGAAATGCTAAATTCAGGAATGTTTCAGTTTAGGAAGTCCCTTAATGTGCAGCAAATTGAAGAACCTGACCAGGTGACATTTCTCTAATAATATAGCTTTTTTATTGCATTCTAACTTTTCCCCAACATCTAAAGAAAATAGTGTCGTATAAAACCAAATCATTCTTATAACTTTTTTAAGACTAGAAAGAAAAAAAGGGGACAAATTTTCATGTACGTACTAAGAACATTTATCAACACACATGCACAAATTTATGTCAAAATTACTTTTAGTTTTAAAATGTCCATGTTTCATTCTAATTGAAATTTGGATGGTGCAGCAAATTGATGAATGTTATCTGAAATATTCAGATATGTACTTGAACAGAAAAGATGTGCAGGAGGCTCTTCATGCCCGGCTGGTGGGAACCACCAATTATCGTTTATGTAGCAAGTAAAACTACTTTTTCAGTCTCTTGATGAATCCACTATGTTTCAGTGTGTTCTAAATTATTTCACCGTTTTCATTCTGCTATTTCAGGATCGTGCAAACGAATTATGACCTATTAAGCCGAGAGATATCAACAATTAATGTTGTAGGCTTCCTTGTAAAATCAGGCCTTCGAGTCATTGTTTACAGGTAATCTATGAATGGCCATTTGATTAAGCAAGTTTCTACTTCATTCATTATTAATTAATCCATGTTTCACATACAACAGTTGTTATCAGTAGTAATTTGAAATTGAATGAAATGTATAGTGGGGATCAAGACTCTGTGATTCCATTTATGGGCACGAGAAGATTGGTTGATAAACTAGCAAAGAATCTGGGACTTAAAACATCAGTGCCTTATAGTGCTTGGTTTGTGGACAAGCAGGTTCATATATTCAATTTTCTTAATTTAAACAATTTTTACAATGTTTAATTCAGCAATAAAGCATATTTGAACATTGTTTATGTTATTTTTACGTGCAGGTTGGAGGATGGACACAAGTTTATGGCAATCATCTGACGTATGCCACAGTAAGAGCAGCTTCACATGCCACTCCAACTACTCAACCAAAGAGATCTTTTATATTGTTTAATGCGTTTCTTCAAGGGAAACCACTCCCTAAAGCATGAAAAATTCAATGCTCAGTGGTAGGGTCACATCCAATAAAACCACCAGGTTATTCTAGAAGGCGTAGGAATTAAAATAAAAATTAAAATAAAGTTTGTTTGTGTATCCAAAATGTAACGTGTAGTTACTGGAGTAGACACTTATATATTTAAAATATAATGTGTAATTTATGCGTAAAGCGTAAAAATAATTATGATAATATTTTTCTTTTTTTTTTTAAGTGGAATCATGATCTATAGGTGTTTCTAAATGTATATGACAATAACATTAATTATTGTATTTATGTGTTTTATTAAAATTTTTATCAACTAATTGATAATGTTCTATTAATTAGTTTGATTTATCATGTCAAATAAGATTACAATATTAAAATTTTGTCTAGAGTTTAGAAAAAAAGAAAAAGAAAGAACTTATAAAACTTAAGAGGTAAGGAGAAGGAAAGAAAATGAGATTAAATCACTCTTTTAGTTGGATGTTTAATATTGAAAGGGAAAGATAAATGGAAGTTTAAGATGTAAATGATATTATTATTTTTCTTATGTTTTTTATTTATATATTTTTTTATCTTTTATTTTTTTTCAAAAAACACATAAATTAAATTTTTTTTTCTCTAAAATTTAATATTTTTAAAATTTCTATTTCTATATTTTATAATTTTTTAAAAATTATCACTAATAAACTAACATTTTTTGAAAAAAATATTTTTTTATTTTTTATTTTCTTGTTATTTTATTTTAGACCTTGTTAAATATTTAATTTAAAAATTAAAAATATAAATAATAAATCTTACTATACGAGTCACTAAAATTCTTTAAAATAATTTTTTTTTAAAAATTAAAAAATTTTAGAGAATTTAAAAAAATTCTTTAACCATTACCCTCATATTTAATTAACTTCTAAATAAGAGTTAATAATTATTAACGCTTTTTTTCTTCTTTCCTCCACTCTTAAACATGAAATTCGAGCTTAAATGGAATTCCTTTAGGGGCCTTGATAGATAATGAGATCAACTACAACTTCGTTCACACAGTGGTGGCTTCAACATTAGAACATGAAATAAATAAAAACAATGAAATAGGGCTGAGGATGAAATTGGGAAGTATGGATATCATCGTGAATGGTTATATTTTAGATTTGAGAGCCATGAGCGTGATTTTAGGTGTGACATAACTTCAAATATTAGGAAAAGTTCTAGTTGATTGGAAAACAAATTGACTATGACTTTCCATCAAGAAGCATAAATGATATAATTACAAGGAGAAATTGGCAAAAAGAAATTTGTACAATGGACACTAGAAACTTTTAAGAGGGTTTTGGAAATTTTAATGTATAAGATTGAAGGCCTTTTACTGAATAAAGAAGGAATAACACTTGAGCAACACGAAAGTACAATAAAGATAAATCAGAATAAAGAATTGAAAGACGTATAATAGAGTTGTTTAGGAGTTTTCAAAGAATTAGAAGGGTATACTGCCACACTAGAATTTAATTCATTCAATTACATTGCAACACGAGACCTGTAAATGTGCGTCCTTATTAATATCCTTGTCATCACAATAATGAAATAGAGCAACAGGTGCAATCTATGCTCAAGCAAGGAATAATTCGTTCTAGTAGAAGTGTTTTTGTCTAGTCTTTTTATTTTGGTACAAATTTTTTTACATGGTTTATGTTCATTAATTACTAATATAATTATCTCAGGATATTACTTTTACTCTATTTTTTCTACAAATAATTTAATCAAAATTATAATATTTTTTAATTAATAATAATTTTAAAATAATTGTTTCTACCTCATATATTGTAATTGAAGCGTCATGGCATTAACTTTGTCTTGAATAGTTATTTTTTCTTCAATAAAACTTCTGTGCATAACCACTCCAATCACATCTATTCATAAAATAAATAATTTTAAGAAACTAATTGATAATTTAAATACAGATTATATAACAAATTTTACTGCAAAATGTCTATTAAGACTTTATTTCCATAATGACTTTTTAGATTTTCAAAGTTCACAAAACTCTAAGGTATAGAAAAGAATGATGTTATCATCATTTAATTCTTTAATAATAGTTGTGACATAGAATTATAATATGAAATGATTATTTTCAACCACAATAAAATCTATCTTTATTATTTGTTACTGAAAATTTTGGTATAAACTATATTTTTCCTTCCTTTAATATATCTTTGAACCTATAAAAAATAACTTGTTCTATAGAAGCATGTGCATAATTGTTCTATAGAAAATAAAAATTAATCAATTAGAAAATTTAAAAATAAATTAAGTTAGTTATCATAGAACAACATATAAAATACAACATAATTATAATTTATTAAAAATAATAAATTCTTAATAAAGAAAATTTAAATCTAATACATTTTCATTAATTAGTACCATATCAGTACTAATTAACTTTTTCTTATGATATATATTTAGTGTATCCCAACGTCATGAGAATCACTTTTATTTTTCAATCATCTATTGTTGAATTTAGATCGTTAAGAAAAATACATTTCTCTTTGTTGAAACTTGTTGTTCTCCTACAAAAGCATGAAAAATATAAAAGTAAATAATTACTTGTGATAAATATAAAAAAGTAATAATAAATTTGATACAAACTAATCAATTAAAAATAAATTTTTTTAGTATAACAAAATAAAAAATATCAAACTCGAAAACACATATACTTACATGAATAGATAATTCTTGATCGTTGACATGATTGCAAAATATAAAAAAAAATTACAATAAAAAGAATGACGAGTAAGTTTTCAAAAGTTATGTAAGCATTACTTATATAATTAGAGATTAAGTCCTACTTGAAAATATGAAAAGTTAGATAATAAAAAATTAATATAATAAAAATTTTCTTTTTATTTGTATTATAGTTTACTTGTCTTTTCATTAAAAATTTAATTTAATAATATATAATATAAAACAATAATTAACATTTAAATATTAAATAGAAGTTAAAATAAATATACATTTTTATTTTTAATTAAAAAATAACTCTAGAACTTCATCAAATTTTTTAAAAATATTTTTATATAATTCAATCAATATTTTTTTCTATTTTTAATATTTGACATTGAAAATCTTGAAATTATTTTGTTTATAATAAATTTTAATAATTTTTTTATTAAATATCATTTAAAGTAGTTTTGTTATTTTTTTTTTAACAATATACAATTATCAATTCTAATAATTTTTTTCTAAATACAATTCAAAAGTAATAAATATGAATTAATTATAATAATAATTCTTAAATTATGCAACTTATTATAATTAATAATTTTTATTTAATATAATTTTAAATTATCTTATCTTATCTTATATATAGTATTTTTATATGTAAATTTATCTTTTTATTAAAAATATAATTTAACAATATATAATATAAACTAATAATTTTGTAAGTATATTTTTTTATTTTAAAATAAATTTTAATTTTTGAAATATATATTAAACTATGTATCATTAAAAACTTAATTTAACAATACATAATATAAATTAATATTTTTATATATATAGTTTTTTTATTCAAATTATATTTTAATATTATATATAAATATTAAAATATAAATTATATTAAACTAATTAATAAAAAATAATATAAACTTTTCTTTTCATTAAAAATTTAATTTTATAAATATAATTTTTAATTTAAATTAAATTTTAATATTTGAAATAAATATTAAAATATAAATTTAAACTATAAAAAATATCATTAATTTTAATTTGTAAATTATAAAAAATATTATAATTAATTTTAATAAATGAAATTTAATAATATAATATAATCATCAATTATAATAAATATTTTTTAATATAATTTAAAGATAATAAATATAAATAAAATATAATTTTAATTTATAAGTTATAAAATTTATAAAATTATTTAATGTGATAAATAAGATTTCATGACAAAATTTATAATGCAATTTGACTTTAAAATTTCATTTATTAATAAAATTCTTATTTTTGAAACTTAGAGTAAATTATTAAAAATTCTTATTTTTAAAAATTTAAATTTTAACTGAATTTAATGACATTATATGATCTATGTAATCGATTTTACTTTGATTGTTGTTGTATGTATTATGTATATATCTGTTTATATGAAACAAGATTTAGTGACATTAACTTAGATATTTATATTAATGGTTTTTTATAAAATAAAATTTATCAATTTAATAATTGAATAATATAATATTATCTTTATGATTCTGTATGATAAATTTTATGTATTTGAGTAGATATGTTATAAAATATTTAGTATTTATTTATATTTTAATATTATATTATGTGTTAAAATAAAATAATATGATAAAATATTTATTGATTTTATTAATAAATAAAATTTTAAAAATAAAATTTACTTAATAAATTTTTTAAACTAATGATTAGATTAATTCATTTCACGTTATATGAAAAGTAAAGTTATATCATTAAATTTAAGTTATATATAATTTTATGTACCATCATATTGATCTGCAAAACAAGCAGGGTGGTCCAATTATAAAAAAGAGAATTAAGATTTGTTAACACTGCTCGTTAAATTTAGCAAAAAGGCCAATCTATTAAGCTCTGTTCTAATATTAATTAAAAAAAATTAATTTAGCCTTAAATTATTTAGGGCATCATAGGTTGGCCCAAATTTTATCCACAGAATTTTTCGTTACTCATTTTAGCATTCTCACTTGTAATATCTCCTGGTGTTGTCACCAAAAACCTTCCCCGATTCTTGAAAAAGCAACTTTCAAGGGCTCGTCGCATCGGTGAATCACTTGAGCCCTGATACTTTTTCGGTGCCATGGAGCTAGACCAGTGAGCTATTACGCTTTCTTCAAAGAAACCCTAATCCCAATTCTCTCAATACTCCCAAATCCGCAGCAGAAGCACTGTATACTCCCAAGGAAAATACGCACCACGTGGGAATGGCGTATTGACGAGGGAGGTGGGATCCGAGTGAAAGTCTCCCGTTTTGGTCTCCTTTATTTTATTTTATTCATAAATCAATTGATGTCCGGATTGGAGTCACTCCTCCTTTTCTTTAAGGAAAGCATTCCGTACCAGTGGCACGAGATCTAGTTCAACAGAGACACGTCAAGATTGTAACCCCTGTTTGACAGGTCCGAGGAAGAGGGAGAAAAAGATGGTCACCGTAATCTACAGTTCCGTTTGAGGTGCCCAGTAGCCACAGCTCCCTCGCATCCAACCCTCCATCGCAACAAGGAAACAGATCCCATCCCCTTCAACGCTGGGAACGTTGCACGACGAGCAGAACCCTGAGCAGCGAACTGCGAGCAGAACCTCCTGCAGCAGCAAATATTGCAAACGAAGCAAACTGCAAGCAGAATCTCAACCAGCGGCACCCGTGACGTTCTGCAAACTGCGATCAGAACCTCCAAGCTTCAACTGGTTTGTGTGAACACAGCTTCCTGCAGCAGCAAATTTTTGCGAACAAAGACAAACAGGTTCGACGTCCAAACTTACTTGTATTTGTGTGTTTTTAACATTGTTATTAAGTTTTGATTCATTATTTTGAAGGGATATTCATGAAATAACCAAGCTATCCTGTAAATAGGTTGGTTACAGCTGGTTGAGTTTGTTGTATTATGTATGTGCATATAATGTCAGCTCTTGAAAAAGGGATCACTAATTCATTGTGAAATTTACAAGCTTATAGACTAAGAATTTTTTTTCTCGATATGAAGTCAGACTTTATTTAAAAAAAAAAAAAGCGAAACTACGACATTTAAGGTTGGCACAGGGAGCCGCTCCGAGTGTGAGAATCCGATGCGGGGTGATGGGAGGGGGGTAAGAGAAGCGATATGATTGTATGCACGAGGAAAGAGGAGATTGTTAATAGAAAGCTAATAAGCTCTTTTTGTTTTTGGGCTTCCCCTTTTTCAATCACCTCCTACCTTATGGAAAGCCCACTATAGGTTTTGGGTATAGAACCATTTCAAGTGAGGATGGTCCTTTGTCACAGAACCAGAATGAATGCCATCATTGATCAGGTTGTAAGCACTGTTTGGGGATATGGGCTCTGTAGATATCATTAGTTTGCTCAGAGGTTATGGTCCCAAGAATGGGAGTGAAGTTCCAGTTCTTCTCAGCATCAATGATGTTAGCAACCATAAGGTTGTTGTTGTTGTTAGTGGCACTGAGTTTACCACCAATCATTAAGGCATGAACAAAAATCTAAAAGGGATCTTTGCATAATCTATTTCAAAGCTTATAGGCATTAACCCATATCTTGGTGTTATGGGTGATTAGTGCGGAAGAGATTGCATAATCTTTGCAAGATTGTATGACTGAAAACTTAAGATGCGGAGAGATGAACTCTCATAAATTATAACAGAAATTTCATGTTTTATTTCAACGGTAAATGGAGCACTGAAGCAATAAAAATACTAGCATAAAGCAAATTGAAGATGCTAAAAACTGCAACAGAAATATTGTAGAATAAAATGAGTGGGGACATTGTTAAAAGCGCACATTTAGCCTTTGTTGATGGTCAAAGAGCCGAACCTGGTCAATGCTTGAATTCAGCGCACGATGTAAAGAAACTATATTTGACTAGGTACAGAGGAAAGATATACAAAATCAATTGCATAAATAAACATGTTAAATAATTAATATACTGAATTGCAGATCATAATGTGCACTTTGAAACAAATTAAAAAAATGAGAATGTATGATGTATATGAGAGATTTTAAAATCAATGAAGTAAACCAAGTTTCTCCTTATTACTAACAGCAAATCATATCATATTTTATTAAGATGACATAAGGGATACTGAGATTTTTAAACTATAGGAACATCTAAAGATCAGAACAGTGTGTGTATAAATATGATAGGGAGAAACTACTTTTTAGTGCATATGCAACTTTTGTTTGGTGACAATCTTCTATTGTCTTGTTGAGAGTAGTAGAATAATTAAAGAGGGGTATAATAAGTGATATAGGGGGCATCAGGGCATGAGCTTAGTGTTAATGAAAAGAGAGAAGCAGACCAAAATGAGGTTTCCTTATGAAGAAGTTTTCAATCTAGCTACTTAGCAAATTAATTATACATGTTATCCACATTAACCATGGTGTCTGATGATATTGTTTTTGCTTACTGCTTGCATGTGTTTGATGCTAACCTCACTAATCAAATGTTACCATTACATATGAACTATAAGACTTACATTACTCTTAACTTTTCCTTTGTTAAAGCTTCATTATATCACTCTTTCCTTCTCAGTTTTGGTTACAAATTAATGCTCATTCAAATAGTACTGAATACACTGCATTTCTTGGTAACTCAGCATAATCATCCATAATCTTTTCCGCACTAATTTTTTTTAAGTTTCCTAATTTATTTTCCTAATGTGATTATGGGAAAATGTCTTGATCTAATTCTCTGTACAAATGGGTATTAGTGCTTCATATTTTACGCCCATCAAATAAATCCAATCGCGTAATATTCAGGGCTATTTTCTCTTGTCTGCAACTTTAACAACTAAACAAAAAGTAGAATTGGCCTAGATATTCAACCTGTTTTAAATTACAATGAAGCAAGGAATTATGGAGTAATGATGTAATCTGATGCACTAAAGTGGACAGCTCCTTAAAATTATTCACTTTTGCTGGTCTACATTGTCTGGCAGGTCTAAGAGATTATATATGCAAAGGATGTAAGTTTCAAAAGTCATGCAGCTTAAGGGACATAAGGCTTAATATCAGCATTATTATTTCTAGGTGATTTGAAAATTAATTTGAGAGGATGGGTTTGGGCTGCTGAACAAAGTTTTTTTTAATCCACAGATCCTTCCATTTTGCTCAATCGGGTTTTGACTGGTTGATCATTTATTTTATGACTTGATGATGAAAAGTAAAGTGCCTACATGTAATAGTTGTTAATCTCGGTTAGCGGGGTGTAGCTGACAACCCTCAAAACGCTATTGTGGGATAGTGCATAGCGGGATTGCCGCTATTTTAAAGTTTTTTATCCATATAAAAGTATATAAATATGCAGATAATTATGTATATAATAATGCTAAACAAATATGCATAAATAGCATAACATAGATGAGTGACTCTACTGGATTGGAGATTGTTGCAAAGCATAACAGAAACAGAGACAGAGACAGAGATGGGAGGAGGGAGTGTCAAACAGAGAAGGGAGAGAAGAAAATCAGGGTAGAAAAAGTGGGGTTTCGTCATGTGTCTCTAGTTGCAAAGCAGAACAGCAATAGAGATGAGAGGAAGGGGTGTTGAAGAGAGAAAAGAAGAAAAAAAAAAACGGAAAAATGAGGTTAGGTCTGAAAACTGAGAAGACTATTTCGCCTTTAAAAAAACCTGAAGATTGTGTCATCATAAGGGCAAAAAGGGAAAATCAGCTTATTTTTAAATATTAAAAGTCTATTTTACCCCTAAAAAACCCTAAAATTCCTTCATTTTGAGGGTAGAAAAGGAAAGTTAATATCTTTCCTTGTGATGGCACTTATGCGCCAAGAATGGCCGCGTTTTGAGCCACAAATACAGCCATTATGCCAGATATGTAGCAGCCAAAGGCTGCTCCGCCATGCACCACCTCCATCTGCAATTGCACGCTATTGACAACTATGCTGTAATAAACTGTCAAAGAGGTTTTAAATATTGATGCTAGTTTTTGTAGCGTTAAAGTCTCACATTGACTACAGATATAGCTAAATAATAGCTTGTAAAGGCTAAAACAATCTTCATTTTATGAGCTAACTTTTGGGTTAAGCTAAGCTTGAAGTCCAAATTCAACAAACATGAAACGTTTGAAGAATTAGTTAACTCCAGAAGTTATGATGATCTTTTAATTAGACAAATTTTATTCTTTGAGAGGATTTGATTGACATACATTAATTACTAGGTATGAATGAAGTGGGTTAAAAATTAGCACTCTACTGCAGTATTCTCTGATTATATATCTAGTCAATTGACATTTAACAAAATAGTTCAAGTTCTGTTTTTTATTAACGGTATTTTAAAAAAATTATGATTTTCCTGAAAGGGACTTGTTTTTGAGCTATTGTATTTGTTCACAAGTAACTTGAAAATTGAAAAGTGTTCCGGTTAACCCTCTATAGGGACTTCAGAATAGTGTGAAAGCTGATGGATGAAAACCAAACTTAAGATTAGTCTAAAGTGATAGTTTCTGTTTCTATAGATTGAAGAAAACTAAAGTGAATGCTAGTTGGTAAATCTTTCTGTGATCATAATATATTTGCAGGAGTTAAACACACTTCAGCTTTGCTTAGATCTTACTACTGCTACTTTTGAAGTTATTCAATTTTCAAATGCTTGATCCAAACATGCCATTGGTTTGTTGTTATATCTGAATCTGTGACCTATGTTCAGCTGTTTTCATTTTTGTGTTACTAGTGAATTGAACTACTCTGCCCCATTATCAGCATAAAACATGGATCCAGAGGCTGCACGAACTGCACGCGAATCTCTTGACCTGGCATTCCATATGTCCAATATCCTCGATACAGGTCTAGATCGTCACACACTTTCTGTTCTTATTGCACTTTGTGACCTTGGAGTCAATCCTGAAGCACTTGCCGCTGTTGTCAAGGAGCTAAGAAAAGAGAAACCCTCATTATCATCGTCGCTTTCTGTGGCTCCTTCTTCCTTGCCATAAATAAATGGATTTTTTATTACTTTTAGATTCCATTCTGTCTATGCTTGCTCAAATTCCTTAATCCACCCTGTTTGTCTTGTTCTTGATCCGGTTAATTGAATTTCTATATCTGCTTTGCTTGTTATTTTGTATGAGCTTCATTTGATGTCTAGTGACGTTCTAGTGCAAAGTTGATGAGAACATGGATTCAATTAGGAACGTGTATGTGATGGCTTATCTTTGAGAGTAAATTTTCACCCAACCTTGTGTTTGGAAGAGGAATTTTAACATTTCAAAGAATTTAAAATACATGAAATCTGAATTGTTTTTAAATATATTCCTTTAATTTTCAAGACACTTTGTACGGATAAAACAAATCAAATTTCTTGTATTTGAAATTCATTTTACACCCATAATTATTCATCTACTGTTCTATCTCTCTATCTTATATATTTTTCATCCAAGTTATCACTTTCTCCCCCTTATCTCTCACTGCTAATAAGTTTAAAATTGTTGTAACATACAAGAAGAAAGAAACACAAATAATATGAAAAAAGCAACAATTTACATGTGGTAAACTGTAATTTATCAAAATATTTATTATTTTGTGCCTATATGATTACCTGTAATGTTTAACATGCAAGGACCCCTACAATTTAGTTAATTTAAGAAAATCATCTTATGCATTCAAATTGGTCAATACAGCTCCCTGAACCAACCAAACTTTAATCATTCATCGATGCTGCTACCTTCCAGACGAAGTTTTACAAGACATATAGGAGGGTTTGCAAGTATTGTGCTTTCCAATTTTTATTTTTTATTTTTTAACAATTGTCCTCTTGCTCCATTTCTTAGTAACCAAAAGTCATAAATCTTATTTGCAAAAAATCAAGTTTTTTTTATCACTTACATTAACAGATATTGATTAGGCCAATTTTTTAACTAGCTAAAAGAAAATATTCAAACTTTGACTTTATATTTAAATTATCTGAAAAAGCTGGCGATTAATATAAAATTTAATTAAAATATAATAATTATAAACAATTTACTATTAATATTATTCACATAGTACCATGTGATTAAAAAGTTCTACATTAATAAAATATCAAAATTAAACTTAAAAGTATATTGATAAAACTACAGCTGATTAATGAAAATTAAAAAAGTCTGACTATTGACTCTTGTTTAGTGGGATAAAGTACTTGTCCCATAAAATTGATAAAAAACCTTGGTCTCCTTTATAGTTTAGTGGGATGTTCATAATTAGTGGTTCTCGACATGCTGTGTTTGAATTGAACTGGTTGATAGATCAGTTCATAATTAACTTTGTCCGGTGACTCCGATCGCTCAATCCAATAATGTTGAAGGTAGTTTTAGATGTAACGTCTTTGATGACGTTAGTTTGAGGTCATGATGTACCTGCCTTCTGGACACTTGCAAACTGCAACTCCTTCTTGGATATCTGCTTTGGCATCATCTTCTACTTCAAATCACATCACCATCCATTACTCAGAAAAACGCAAAAGCACGATCCAGTTCAATACTTCAAATCAGATTCCAACCTTATCATTTTGGGTGGACTCTAATTGCTTGAATGACAGCATAACATTTGTATTTTAAAAAAAATGCTTATATTTGTTTTATATTGTATTGATAGTAATTTTAATTTTTATATTTATTAGATTAAAATATGATCTTTTAATATTTTAATTATATGTATACACTAGTGTAAATAAATGGATATAAATGGCTTTTACTCTCGTATACATATCTATTAAATTTTGCAAACATTTATCTATTCAAATTCAAGCCCTAAACTAATTACATAAAGCGTACAGTTGTTTGAACCAAAATGAAAAACAATTGGAACCAACTTATTTTTGTTAGGTCGTAAAACCTATCATTAACTTCTATGACCCCTAATCTACCATACAAATGATTAATGGTATCTACAATTATGCACCATATATAGTGTGATCAGAGTATGGTAAGGGCAATGGTAAAAATAACGTGCAAGGAAACATTATTGGTTAGGGTTAGGCCCAATTGACGAAGAAGTAGGCAAAACTTGCTTGTCAAATTTCTCTTGAAGTCTCTAATTTTGTTAAAATAAAATTATAATAATTTTGTTATAATAACAAAATATAATATTAAATTAAATATAATAGTACAATATTTAAATACATGTAATACTATTTTCTATGGGAGTAATTTTATCATCCCTAGCTACTCCCCTGGCAACAAGGGTACAAATTCAATTATCCTCATGTGCTTTTGCAAATTTGAAAGCTTCCAAAAAGAATGAAATTGATGGCTTGAAGAGAAAGTTGACAAAAATGCTGTATCTATCAATCATGCACTAGAGCAATTACATAACGTGGTGATGATGATGAAATAAAAATATATTCTAATTCTTCTTAGTCTATCTTCCTCAATAGGATAATTTGGACTACTGAATAAGATAAATTATAAAATAAGTTTATTGTATTAATTTATTTTTTATTAAATTCTTAAATAATATATTAGAATAGGATGCGATTGTGTAATATTTTATTTTAGTTATCAAACAAAATTTTAAACTCAAGAATAAAAGTAGTTAAAGATTTATTGAAGAAAATTTTACTGTTGGATTAAAAAGTTTAACTAGGCTCTTTAACAAAGTCAGAAAATGTAGTCTAGGTTAGTCCTTTTTCTAATTTATTTTTTGCCTCGAAAAGTCTAAAATAGAAACCAAATAAAAAGTAATACCATTCTCTTGGTTCAAGAAAATGAGAAAAAGGATAAAGGGATGGTAATGACCTAAGAATACTAAATTAATACTCATAGCATTATGGAATACACAATTAGTAATATTTAAAATCATAATTATAGAATAATTTGTTCAGAAAAAGATAATGGATGTAGTGTTTTTGTAGTTAGGTTTAGATAGGTTTCCGAGTCAAAACAATATTTTTATTTGATCATAAAAGTATATTGCAATTTAGTTTGATTAATTTGAATAAAATTTTAAAATCCAATCTAATCAAAAGTAGTTTAAATTGGATTAAATAATTTATATTTATATTTTTAATTTAGTTAGTAGATAATAAATATATTAATTAATCAACTCATCTATACTGTTGTAAATAAAACATATTTTTATATAAAATATAAAATTTATATAATATAAAATAGGACACAAGAACAAAATTAAAAATTAATCTAAATTTTATAATTTATAAACACATTAAAATAATAAAAATATTATTTCTAAAATAAATAATAAGATATAACTTTGAAAATATGTAATTGTATATTTAATTTTATAAATATACAATTCTATAAGTATGAAAAGAAGTTAATTTCATAAATAAAAGTGTGCATACATACGTTAGTTCAGTTTGAATTAATTTAGTTTAAAAATTAAATCTAGTTCAATAAAAGAATATTAATATTTACAGTTTTGTTTATTTATTTATTGGCTAATTCAATTTTCGATTTGATTTTTAAGATTTTGCATTAGATTGGATGCATTTATGAAAATATGCATAATCCCTTTATTGAGCTCAAACATAAATTGATATGATTTACGTCCCCAATTCCTTATTTTCACATTTATAAGATCAACTTGAAAGGAAGAACTTTTTCGTTCTTTTTATTAAGAATGTTTATGAGTCGATTTAAACCGTTTTAAACTAATAAACTGATTCAATTCCTTATTTGTACTTTCTATAAGATTAATATTAATTTTCTATTCTTTCTTATATAAAAGTTAACCTATAATATATTTTCATCTTTTTGAAAATTTCTTGTAATTTTTAATTCGGATTAAATTATAGTTGTCCCTTAAAAACAATAATCACTAAAAAAATACCATACTAGCTAGTGTAAGAGTCAATTTAATATTTTTCTTAAAAAATTATTTATTAATAAAAAATTAAAATAGTGTTCCTAAATTTTTCTTAATAAAGTTAATAAGATAAAAATTAAAATAATCGATCAAATCCAAACACTGAAAATTAGTTTAATTTAAATTTTATTATTGTTCTCAAACTAGTTTAAATTAAACTACAAATTCATTTTATAATCAATTAATATTTTTAAAAAAACTTTAAATCAATTTAAATTAAAGTGCTTATTTTTTTCACACTTTATTATTTTAAATTTTTATGGTAAAAAGTGAGAGAAAGAAAACGAGATGCATATTAATTTTATTATTTGAATAATAAAAAATAAAATATAATAGATAATTATTTTTTCTTTTTTATACATTAATCTTTAAAATGCTAAAATATGTCTCATTTTAAATATACTAAAATATTTTTTAATAAAGTATAAAAACTTGTGGTATAAATCACCAAAAATATGTATAAACTTGTAGGAGGTTATTATACTTTATTTTGTAGCTTTGAATTCAAACTTCAATAAATGTAATGTATTAAATACTTAAAAAAATTATTATTCATAATAGTCTCATCTAATGCAAACAATAATGTCTGCTACCATAACATGAAAAATGAAAAGATCATGTTATATTTTGGATAAGATATTTATTAAAAAAATTACATAAAAATGTTAGGATAAATTATATTTTACTCTTTGTAATTTAACAATTAATTTATTTTCTTAAAATTTTCCCTTTTTTATATTGTAAAATCATTTAAAATATTTTATTATAATTAGTTTTAATTTTGATAAATAAGTTTTTTACGTAAAAAACAACAAGAAAAGGCTAAAGCCTTAAGGTAACAAAATTTAACATGTTTTAAATTTTAACTCAAATTTGAAGAAAATTCTAAAATAGGTTTAAAAGTATTAAAATAATAAAAAGGAAAAGGTATAATTTACAAATATGTTAATCATTAACCCATCCTAATTGCAAAACACATTATTGTAATAGAAATAATGATTACATGATTTTTTTTGTTACAATGATTACATATATTAACTTTTCTATGGTATATCCGTCCAAATGAAATGAATTGGGAATATTCAAAGGGAAGTTATGTCTCTTTTGTTTGTATTCAAACTAAACTGTTTTGCATTGTAATGCAATCCTATTCATGATCGTGAATATATGAGAACACTCGTGAAACGATATTTATTTATTTTATTAACCTATTCATAAGTAAATTAATTATATAAGAAAACATGTTGAAGGGACATAGTGTAATGCAATTTTAAAAAACTATTGCAGCCCCTGATAGTCACACCTCACAAATCACGGTAAAGAAAATAACAAAGTCGGCACCTAATACAACCCCAAAAATCCAAGCAAGTTAACCAAAACTAACTTTCAAAAATTATAAAAAGAAAAGAGTTAACCAGTATTCAAAATCCAAGCCTTATTTGTCAAAGCCATCATTAGCTTTCACATAAGGACCACAATATTTCTACTTCCACACTAACTTTAGAATAAAAGGGTAATAATATAATCGTTAATGTCCTTATCATAAAATAAAATGTTGTTCATTTGTATTAAAATAATAATTATTATAATTTATATACTAATGTTATATTAATTTTTAGATGTTTAAATATGAGAACCGTTATCATAATCCTTTGCGCACAAACACTTATGCAAAGGATTAATTATCTTCCCAATTAAACGAACAACAAGTTGTGACACATATCACCATGCTACCTCAGTCATATGCTATGATAACAACAATAATAATTGTTCTTGCACATACCCTTGTGGGGGTGATTTCACTGCCAGAAGCTGATAAGATAAGCACTTTGCCGGGGCAGCCACTAGTCAAATTTCAACAATACTCTGGTTACATTACAGTGGATGAACAGCACCAAAGAGCTTTGTTTTACTACTTTGTTGAAGCTGAAGAAGACCCTGCATCCAAGCCAATAGTCCTATGGTTGAATGGAGGTATATAATATATGTTGTTATGCATAACATACATGATAAACATTTTTTCTTATTTGTATATTTTTGAAGGATAAACTTAGGTGCAGTATTATAGTGCTTTTAGTACTGTTTTTCTAAAGACAGATTGAAGAAACTGAGATGCTTTCTTGGTTTTGACTTTTTAAGGGCCTGGTTGTTCTTCTATTGGAGTTGGAGCTTTTGCTGAGCATGGCCCTTTCAAACCGGGTGACAATAATGTTCTTGTGAAAAATGATTATAGTTGGAACAAAGGTGAACCATAAATCAACAACTCTATAAATTCAATGCTATGTTTTTCTAAGGTTCAAAAACAGAACAAAATTGCTTATTGATTCCTCCTTGTCACAGAGGCAAATGTGCTATACTTGGAATCACCAGCTGGTGTTGGATTCTCTTACTCTAGCAATAAATCTTTCTATGCTTTAGTGACAGATGAAATTACAGGTTCTTTTTCAATTTTTTTGTGCATTTAGATAGTAGCAAAAGAACCATTAGTTTAATAAATTATTAAGATTATAGCATTTTCTTGTCTTTTAGACATTCCTCAACATGCTGATGACGATCTTGTCTTTGTACAGCTAGGGATAATCTTATTTTCCTACAGCGTTGGTTCACTAAATTCTCTGAGTATTCAAATAATGATTTCTTTATTACAGGGGAGAGCTATGGAGGTAAGAATCATCCAAATTAGCCAAATATTAATTAGCCTCCTTAGGGTATTGCTTAATGAATAAAAAGTATAGATTTTTATTAAAAAGTATTAGTAATGTACCCTTGCATCTCTAATGTAATTTTTAAAATAAAAAATTATTTATTAATTTCTTAAAAGACACTTATTAGCAAGACTCCTAAAATAAATAAATAAGGTATTCATTTTGAAACTACATTAGGGTAATGCATACTTGTTTGCAGGTCACTATGTTCCACAACTTGCACAGCTTATTATTCAAACCAAGACCAAATTCAATCTCAAGGGGATAGCAGTGAGTACAAAAGGGAAATTTTGAATAATTATAATATAAAAACCATTTGGTTAATTTGAAAAGTATAACTGGTTATGTGTTGATATTTGCAGATAGGAAATCCTCTTCTGGAGTTTAATACAGACTTCAACTCTAGATCTGAGTTCTTTTGGTCCCATGGGTTGATATCAGATTCAACTTACGAAGTCTTAACTAGGGTTTGCAACTATTCCACAATTAGGAGACAAATTCAAAATGGAAATCTTGGAGGCGTTTGTGCAACATCAAATAATCTATTGTATACTGAAGTTAGTAAATATATTGATGAATATGATGTCACTCTTGATGTGTGTTTGTCATCAGTAAATCAACAAGTTTATGTGCTGAATCAACTGGTGAGCTTCACATCAACATTTTGCTTAGCCATTTTAATTCTTACCTCTCCCCCCCCCCCCCCCCCCCCTTCACATTTGCTATTTGAGAAATGTTAGCAATTTACCTTTTGAACACACTTCATGTGATTGATCATTTCTTCATGAAGTTATAGCATTTATCTCGTAAATTGATCATCTTTTATAAAACTAATCATAAAAGATGCGTTAAAGAGTGTGTTCAAAAGAATGTGTTGTTAGGCTTCTATGTTATTTTCTTCACTTGATTTGGTTGCTTTGATCTCTGGTTCAGGAAGAGACACAAAAGATAGATGTTTGTGTTGGTGATGAAACAACCACATACTTAAACAGGAAAGAAGTCCAAGAAGCTCTGCATGCTAATCTTGTTGGAGTCACTAAATGGTCAACCTGCAGCGGGTAAGTTTTATTGCTTCAAAGATGTGCATTCGAGAGCTTTTGGAGGCAAATGTTTAATTTACCAGAAAATGGAAAAGTAAGATGTGAAATTTAACTTCTTACTAATAATAACTAATAGTCTGTTGGATCTTATAAGCCTACAACATTTTTTTTATATTTATTTTCTTCAAAGTTCCCCATATATAGTAAATAATTTACATGAGCATTAAGCAACACAAGAAAGTTAATTTTAACAATAGATGTAAGAATTGCATGTATTTCCATCTTATTTTTGCTTATTTTGCTCCCAATCATTCTTTAACTACACTCTTTTTTTGTTTCATGCTTCTTTCATTGGTCACATTTTTCTGAGACTTGCAACTCCTGCTGACAATATTTTCCTTATGTTAAGAGTTCTTAATTATGATTATCAGAATCTAGAGATACCAACAATTCCAATTCTAGGGACACTAGTTAAATCTGGCATCAAGGTTCTAGTATACAGGTAATTGAATTCATCCAATCACTCACATATAACTAACTCAACACATTACCTTACTACCGTGGCTCATCAAGGCATAACATTTTTAATGCAAGAAAAGTCATTTCTCTATGCAGTGGAGATCAAGATTCAGTCATTCCATTAACCGGTTCGCGATCTCTAGTGAATGGATTAGCCAAGGAAATTGGACTGAATACAACTGTGTCCTATAGAGCTTGGTTTGAGGAAAAACAGGTTAATACTTGGAATGCAATGTGTCTTGAAAGATTTAATACATCTAAACATTTGCATTATGTTCACTCATCCTTTTATTTTGTATATATATATAGGTAGCAGGATGGACACAAGTATATGGAGACATCTTATCATATGCCACCATAAGAGGAGCATCACATGAAGCTCCCTTTTCTCAACCACAGAGATCACTTGTGCTACTTAAAGCATTTCTGGAAGGGAAGTCACTACCAAGTATTGCATAAAATATCAACAACTTCAATATCCTCAGAGGAGCGTTTCACAGAGCTTACAAAAATAGTTTATGGATTCTATAATCTTTTTATAAGCTTCTAAATATAGTTTATCAGAATAATCTCTTTTCATTTTATTTAATAAATTTTATGGTCAAATTTTTAGGATAAACTTTCATGTAAAAAGAGTTTGTTGAATAAGTTTTTAAATGAACTGTATCTTCAAATGTACTTCATGTGTTCTTATTTACCACAATAAACACTTAGAAGTTGTTTTAAATTAGATTACCAAATTTATTTTTATCTGTGTCATGTTATCTGTGTATCTTTTGGATTGAGTAATCTTATTCTTCAATAACGATCTTTAACAAGATACCTATAATTTAGATAATAGAGAAAGTTATAAAGAGAAAAAAAAAAATACAAGACTTTAATATATTATTAGTCATTACATTTTTGTATTTTTTGTAAAATTTTCATTTTAAGGGTTAATTTTTTTTTTAATTTTAGTGCTTAATTTTTAAAATTTAAAATTTTTGGTCTCTTTTACTAACACAGAACAATAAAAAAAATTGACACAGAATAACTTCTTATTTAGTCACATCATCATTAAAGATTAATGATATTTAGACACTAAAACCAAAAAAATAAATTAAAGATAAAAATCAAAATTTTATTTTATATTTAAACTAAATATAAAATAAAATGAGTGATATAATAGAAAGAAATAAATAAAAAAAAGTAAAAAAAAAATTGTGTAAAAAATTATTACAAAAAGTTGTCTTAAAAGTAACATTGTTTGTCTATATTTTTCTTAGTTTCTTTCGTGACAGTGAGTAATGGTGCAGAGATCGAGGGAAAGGTCAAGGATTAGCAATTTATAATCAACCGAACCGAAATTATTTTAATTAACTCTACCGTATTAGCTGAACATGGATATCCATAAACTCATTTAGCCCAAAAAGAAAAAACTGAATAAAAAAATTAAAATCAAATAAATAAAAAATTTAATACAAAAAAATAGAAAACTGATTTTATTAAAGTAGATCAATTTTCAATTCTTATTTAGAAACTGAATTAATCAAGTTACCATATAAATATACACTTATTAATTTACTGCAATAATTATATCTTTGATTTTCTGATATATATATATATATATATGTATATATATTTAATTTAATTCCTTAACTTTTAAAAATATTTCAAATGAATTCCTTTTAGTTACAAATGTTAACTTTATTAAAAAAAAATTATCTTTTTCTATCTAATTTATTATTCATATTAGTAGTACCTTTAGATGTAAAAAATATATTGAAAACATTTATTAAAAAATATATTTGAAATATTTTTAAACCAAAGAAAATACAGTAAAATAAACACATTGACAGAAAAAGATTGAAAAATTTTTCATCTCCAAACCGGTCTAAGTAATTTATAAACACTCCCCTGAACCACCAGAATGATAAAAATAAATGGAGATATGTCATTAAAGTCATATAGTCTAATCTCATAAATATTCTCAATCTCATTTTCCCCTGCAATAATTTGGTAATAAAAAACTAAAAATTATTAAAAGTTAATTAAACTACAAATTTATAAATATTTAAATTTATTGAACTATTAATATTTAAAAACAGTGAGACTTTTTTAAAAAAAATTAAAGAAATAAGTTAAAAGTATTAAAATGTAAAGAAGGAGGTGTAATTTACCAAAATGTTAGTGATAAAAAAAAGCAACAATCAAACACATCTAAATCTCAACGCTCATTATTGTAATAAAAAAATAAAGAAGTAGAAGTATTTTTTTTCTTGTTACTATGTTAACTTTTGTATCACACGCCCATCCAAATAGTTGAATATTCGAAGGCCTATCATTTTTTTTTTGGTCGTCCAAGGCCAGTTTTGTCTTTTGTGTTTTTGTTCGAATTGTAGAGTTTTGCATTGTAATGCACTCCAATTCATTATTATTTATGTAAATTTTATTAAAATCAATTAAGATTTTCTAACCTACTAGTTAAAAAATTAATATTAATTTTGTAGTTTTAATAACATAAAAAAAAATGAGAATAAAGGATTGAAGTGTAACTTTAATAGCTAGTGAAGAGTGTGAGTGGCAGAGGAAGAAGAAAAGGCGGCACCATATACTGATTAGTGACAGATACAGCCAAAAACATGGAAGGAAGTTAATCGATTCTGAATTCTGAAATTGGAACATTGGTGTCAACGCCAACATTTGTTTCCAGACATGGACTACATAACATAACTTGCACTCTTCCTTTTTCTAAGACGTTTTTATTTAACTTATTTGAATTAATAAAAATAGGTCAAATTAGTTTATAAATTTACTATTTTTTATCAAAAGTATTATTAGTATATTTTATTTAAAAAATTACTTTTTAATACTTTAAAATCAAAAAAACCTTTTTAATAAAAATTTGTAACTTTTAAATATTTTTTTTATTTTATAAAATTAATGAATAATTAATTTTATTCGCAATTTTATCTTTAATAAATAGTGGTCGTTTGATAGAGAATAATTCCTCTGTTTCTTTTTACGAAAAACCTTTAACTTAAATTACATATATTACAAAAAAAATTAATTTACTCGTTTTTAAATAGTTCTTATAAAGAGGATGAAATGGAGCATTAAATATGTTTTATTTTATATATATATATAAAAAGATTAAAAATAGTATTAATTAATATAAATTAAAGGTATAATAGAAAATAAAATTATGTCTTTTATTAAATTTACAATATAAATCATTTTCTTTATTTCTATAGAAAACCAAAAGCATCAAACTGATAAGAAAAAAAAGTAGAGTACGTATGACATATCCTTATTTAATATCATTGAATCTAACCCTACTGTTATTATTTATTTTTATTTATTTTAATTTAAAATATTACTAAGTTTATTTATTAACAACAAATAAACAAATCTTTATAAAATATAAGAATCGCAAAGTATTTTAAAAAATGTCCTATATAAAGGAGCAGAGGAAATGGTAAAAATGGTCTAAGTAGACTATCGTTTATGCCTTTATAATAATCCTTTGTCATCTCAATAAAACTCACAAGTAACTTCTTACACATTACCATGCTACCTAAGTCACTAACTATGATTGCAACAATAATTGTTGTTCTTGCACAAACACTTGTCGGGGTGAGTTCACTTCCTGAAGCTGATAAAATCAGCACTTTGCCGGGTCAGCCACAGGTCAATTTTCAGCAATATTCTGGTTACATTACAGTGGATGAGCAGCAACAAAGAGCTTTGTTTTACTACTTTGTTGAAGCTGAAGAAGACCCTGCTTCCAAGCCATTAGTCCTATGGTTGAATGGAGGTATATATCATGTTATATATAACATACATTATTCTGTTTATTTATCCATTTTGGAATATGCCTTAGACCTTTTAGATTGATGGAAGCAATTAAAATGCTTTCTTGGTTTTTATTTTTGAAGGGCCTGGTTGTTCTTCTGTTGGAGTTGGAGCTTTTGTTGAGCATGGCCCTTTCAAACCGGGTGACAGCAATGTTCTTGTGAAAAATGATTATAGTTGGAACAAAGGTTAACCGTTAACCCAACAACTACGTAAACCCAATGCTTTGTTTTTCTTGGGATCAAAATGTCAAATATGCACTTATTTTCCTTTTTTCAAAAAAATAATTTGCTTATTGATTTCATCCTCATAACAGAGGCAAATATGTTATACTTGGAATCACCGGCCGGTGTTGGATTCTCTTACTCTGGCAATGAATCTTTCTATGCTTTAGTGGATGATGATATTACAGGTTCTTTCTTCAATTTATTTTGTGCATTTAGATAATAACAGAAAATAAATAAATACAATATAATAAAGGATTAAATATGCTTTTATTATCTAAAAATAGATTTAATATAAATCTTAAAAAATTATTTTATCACTTCATAAATTTTAATATTTTTTAAAACTGTCTATCACCTTACGATGATGTAACATACATTTAGTCATACCAGGCTATGTTTAGATGCATATCACTTATAACAAATATTATTTTTAAAATTTATGGAGAACAAAAGTATCTATATAAATAGCGATTAAAAACATATTTTATCCCTTAATAAATGCTTCGGATTTTACCAACTTGTCTTTTAGACACTCCTCAACATGCTGATGATGGTCTAATTCTTGTACAGCGAGGGATAATCTTGTTTTCCTACAGCGTTGGTTCACTGAATTCCCTGAGTATTCAAATAACGACTTCTATATTACAGGGGAGAGTTATGCAGGTAGAAATAATTGAAATAAATGAACAACATATTCATTTTGTAACAACAAAGGTAATGCACACTTATTTGCAGGCCACTATGTTCCACAGCTTGCACAACTTATTGTTCAAACCAAGACCAACTTCAGTCTCAAGGGGATAGCAGTGAGTACATGAGGGAATTTTTGAATAATTAAAACATAAAAAACCATTTCATTTATTTCAAAATCATAACTTGGTTCAAATGTTGATACAGCTAGGAAACCCTCTTCTGGATTTTGATACTGATTTGAACTCTAAAGCTGAATTCCTTTGGTCTCATGGACTGATATCAGATTCAACTTACAACGCCTTCACTACAATCTGCAACTATTCCACATATGTGAGACAATACCAAAATGGGAATCTTAATAGTATTTGTGTAACAATAGCTAATCAAGTGCTTAATGAGATTAGCAAATATATCAATGTGTATGATGTCACTCTTGATGTCTGTTTGTCATCAGCAAATCAACAGGCTTATGTGTTGCATCAAGTGGTAAGTATCATTCTTTAATTTTTTGCATAGCCATCTTGATTCTATGATATTTCTTTTTACACCTAGAGTTGTTATTCCCTTCATTTCTTTTACAAGCCTTCATACTCTGATGCAGCAAGAGACACAGAATATAGATGTTTGTGTGGATGATAAAACGTTCATATACTTAAATAGAAAAGAAGTGCAAGAAGCTCTCCATGCTAAGCTTGTTGGAGTCTCCCATTGGACAGCTTGCAGCACGTAAGTTTATTGCTTAAAAAGTGCAGACATTTAAGTTTGCTTAAGCATTAATCAGCATAAGAAAGTTAATTCTAACAAAAGATATTATATGTATTTCCACCTTATTTTAGGGTCCTGTATTCACCGACAATCTTCAAACTCATTTCCTCTTTAGCTACTTATTTTTTTCCCCGTTCTTACATAATTTATAGGGTTGTTCTATGACTTATATCTCGTGCTAAAACCATCTACCTTATGCTACAGAGTTCTTCATTATGACTATAAGAATGAACAGATACCAACAATTCCTCTTTTAGAGTCACTTGTTAAGTCTGGGATCAGGGTCCTAGTATACAGGTAAGTGAATTTATTCAATCATTGACTTTTAATTTAGCTAATTCCATACATAACATACCTACCGTGATGCGTCAAGGCATAAATTTTTTAAGAAAAGTCATTTCCCTATGTAGTGGAGATCAAGATTCAGTCATTCCATTAACCGGTTCGCGATCTCTGGTGGATGATTTGGCCAAGGAAATTGGACTGAATACAACAGTAGCCTACAGAGTCTGGTTTGAGGAAAAACAGGTTAATACTTGACATGCAATATATCTTGGACAGATTTAATACATGTAAACACTTGGATTAAGTTCACTAATCCTTTTATTTGGTGTATATATATATATATATATATAGGTAGCAGGATGGACCCAAGCATATGGGGACATCTTATCATATGCCACCATAAGAGGAGCAGCTCATGAAGCTCCCTTCACTCAGCCAGGGAGATCACTCGTGTTACTTAAAGCATTTTTGGAAGGAAGGCCATTGCCAAGTATTGAGTAAAATATGGACAGCTTTAACAGCACGAGTGTATGAGCCCACGCAGACAACCCTACACGAACTACACATAGCTATCAACCGAAATGAATAATTCAAGGACCAGTATTTCATTCTCTTTCAATTTAAATTACACTGATTTGTATTACGCATTTTAATTTTGTTTGTAAACCCATGTTTGAGTCAACGTAACAAACTATAATTTGTGTGGGGCTAAAAACTTCATATTAAATTTTACCATAAACTCACTTTTAAGAGACATTAAGCATAAATCATTTCACTTCAAATTCACTTATAATTAAAATCAATTTTACAAATCTAAGTTGGTTCAAAATCAACTTTATAAACACCAAACCAACCACACAGCAAGTTAAATATAAAGTGCATCCAGGAATAAAAACAAAGGGAAGGAGAACATTACTGTAATTCTCAAGGCAAATTAGCAACGAATTCCAAACACATAAACTAGGTATCAACGCCACATTTGTTTCAGGAGTGGACTACAAACATAAACGTTATAGTATGTATTCATTGTTTGTTACCATTTGGATTCCACCTTCATCCCCAATTAAACCAACTACAATATGAAGAACATACTACCACATCCATGTAATAGATAGCAACAATAATATTTGTTCTTGCGCAAACATTTGTGGGGGAGTGTTCACTTCCTAAAGCTTACAAGATAAGCAGTTTGCCGTAAGTAGCAACTAATAACTTTATTTTACGTGCATTACGAGTGTGAATTAAATTTTGAACTTGGTCAAACAAGAATGTAGCATCACCTTTCTTAATCGTGCTTGAACTTTGCAATTTGATATATCCCATAATCCCGATAAGAAAAAAGGTGTCAGAGATTAATTAAAAATACAAAACTTACGTATAATTTCTTAAGTGTTGTTAATATAATTTATCAAATAAAATTAAAATTTTATCTCAGTAATATACAATAATATTAAATATAAATTTTCACTAAAACAAGACTCTTATTTTAATTGGTCAATAACACTAACACTTAACAAACATCACATAATTTGTCCTTACAGAAAGAACATTTCATCACTTTAACAAAATACACATTGGAATCTACACATCCACGGGTATGCAACACAAAACGTGAAAAATAAATAAACACTTTTAACCACGCCACAAGACAGAACTATATAATGTAAGGCGATAAATTTTATCTCACTAACAAAGTGGTGTCCCCAGATGTTGCAGAAAATAGCATTCTTAACTGTTAGCTTAAAATTGAAGGTTTTTTGGTCCAGAACAAAATGTAAATTGTAGACGATACATCATACATAAAAATAAAAATCAGAACAGAAAGAAACTGCTTCACCATAGCACAGCAGAACACCTAGCAAATGAATTGCTACAGCAAGGTCCGCCAATGACTTTGACATCAATCATGCAGTGTTCCCAGTATATCATCATCTCTATATAGATGATACCTACACAAAAAACATTACGATCTAATTAGCTAAGGCTTGAGATACAGCTATTGCAACTAGGATGAGCAACCAACTAATAAATCTGTTCTATTCCCATATAATTCATTCACATAGCAAACCATGTAGTATTTTTGGTGTAGTGTATATTCACTGTCAAAACTAAGGATAGCACAAGAAAAAGGGGGAATTTTCCATAAGAAGTGCAGACAAAATCACCAGCTCAATGTCAATGGAATTTTCCAGAATTAGCATATTACTTAGACCCTGATTTTTGATATTTTGTCTGTCAACCAGCCACTCCCAAATACCAGGATTTGAGAGGGTTTGAGAAGAAGGTAACAAAAAGCAACAAAATCATGTTATTGAATGAAATGCTTAATTTATGATAATAATGCTTTACTTCATTAAAGCTAATAAATTATTGATAAACTAAAATAACAGCTTCAGTCTTGGAAGTTTTATATGATAAAGAAACAGTAGATTAAAATGAAAAACATAAATGGAAAAAGAAAAATAACGCAAGTACTTAAAATGACACAAAATATCAAGCATAACATTTTAAGGGATCAACTTTGTAACAGAAAAAATTAAACTTTCTAAGTATCATGTGGACGAAACTATAAGAGTTCAAGTGCAGCCATCAAATGAAACAAAATCTTTACAAGATATACTCCTCAAGAATAATTATATTCCATTAATTTTATGGGCAGCATATTAAACTTTAGGATCAAGTTGTAGAATTCTGTGAGGGTAAAAAGGAAGCTAGCAAATAAATATATCATAAAGAAACATATACATACTCTTTGTTATCAAGCTTCACCTCAGTTCCCCCATATTCAGGCAAAAGAACAGTGTCACCTTCCTTAACCGCCACAGGAATTAGCTTCCCATCCTTACTGTGAATGCCAGGGCCAACAGCAATAACTTTTCCAGAATTCAGCTAAAGCAAAACACGTAAAATTTTATCAGCTCGGTAAATGTAGTTAAACAAATCAAGGATGTAACACTAAATGCATGAATGCAGGGACAAATTGTCCCTTCGCTTGGTAGCATTATTACCCACCAGCCAGGTAGCGATTTAAATTCCCCCAGACTACTAAAGCAAAATGAAATTTTGAGATGAAAAGCGAATAGTCAAAAGGAGGAAATGAAATGGGTACGAAGGAAAGGGATTGGGAGAATGAACCTGGGAGGATTTCTCGGGTAACAGAATGCCAGTGTTAGTTTTTGATGGAGGGACAATTTTCTCCACCAAAACCCGATTCAACAGTGGAATCAAACGCCGAGCCATTTGGAGCGCACAAGCCTGCACCAGAGGGATGAAATTCTTCAGAAATCTCAAGACACTCTTTTAGGGTTTTACAAAGGTTTATGAAGTATTTTCAATTGTGGTTTTATATTATTTTTCTTCATTCGGGGGTTCTAGAATCTTCCCATCGTTTCATCCTATTTTCAAACTCAAAACTTCAAACTATTTTTCTCATTTAACCAATATTTTTAAGTCAGTAGTTAAAAAATTTAAAATATACTCACTCATATAATTTTTTAATATAATTTTTAATTAAAAATTAGTATTTCTTTGTTGGTGTCTTGGTTTTGTTTTTTGGGTCGGGAACCAGTATCCAAACCCGTATTATTATTATGGGGATGAACTTCTGTCACGCCTATAATAGCTCAATATGTTTTTGGGCTACACTTCTCTTTCTGGTCCATGGGCTTAACTCACAATATTAGGATGTGAAAAGAAAACATAACTAGTTCAATATTACAGACCACAAGCCCATATTTGTTTTATATTTTATATCCCAAAGAAAGATTACTATATCAAGTAATAATGATAACAATAAAATAATTATACTTGTTAATAAAACGAAATACATACGTTTAAAATATAAATATAATAAGAAGCTTCATTTTTATTTGAATTTTATTTTATTTTATTCCACCCGATATTAGTACTACTGTATATGATTTCTAGACATAGAATTAGAATTAAGGACCGGAGAGTTTGAAAACTGAAAATTTCTTATTTTTGTGTGTTTAGCATCACTCATGATTAAGGTTCAATAACCTGTCGTGTTTACTTTTATCAGTTATACGGTTTGGTGAGATTTTGTTTTCATCCAACTTTTAATTTGTAAAGTACCAAATTGACTTTTGAAAATTTCTGTTTAGACCACCCCCACTCCTTACCAGTACCCTTTACTCCAAAAAGTGAAAATTACAAGGAAAAAATTATATTAACAAATGAAAGAATAAGATTGATGATTCTAAACTCATTCTACCACGTTAAAAAAAAAATTGTAAATATGAATTTAACACAAAAATTATAATTAATAATATTAAAATAAACATAAATTTACATGTATTCTAACACGAAATTAAACATACTGTGTATATGCATACATAAATTCATACGCACACAATATTTACACTAATTTTCCGTCAGTAACAATGTTTGCTAAGTAACCATGATAACTTGAACCTAATTGATTTGAGCAAACCATGTTTAAAAATCTTAATAATGATTAATTACGTTATGCAGAAAGACAAATCAAATGATCAAAAAGAAACCCGGAGAAAAGTGGAAGTGGAATAAAATCATAGACAGGTTGGCGATAATCATAGTTCATTTGACCACCTTAAACCTAACTAGTTTTTATTAATGCAAGTTTTTAACGATTCTCTTCGATCATACCATCTTGGCCTTAATCATGTTGTTTCTTGTGTTAGTGGTTGCTGTGCTACGCAAGAAGAGTAAACAGTAAAATGTTTACGTGTACAATCTTGCTGAAAATTTTACTGCAAAAAACAAAACTTGGTGATTATAATTAATGAACACTACTTGAAGCAAAATTATATACCTAGAGAATTGGGAAAAGTATTTCGTTGGCGGTAGAAAGGGGGGAAGAAAAAGAGGTTGCCTTTTATGAACCTTTTGAAGAGTAGTACCATAAATAATACAATGCAATCTATATCAAAAATATTCCTCCAAGATTTAATAGAGAAGCGACATTAATGTGTTTGATTTAGCTTATTTCAGGAAATAGAAAGTTAGTTTGAAAAAGTTTATAGACAGTATATGAAAATTATTTATTATTTTTATAAGAAAATTTAGCTTATTTCAACTTATCTTAAACTAATAAGTTTAATGACTATATTCAAGGCATAAGTCACCATTTTAAAATAATTTAATTAAGTTACATATCTAAACATATTCATAATTATTTCTTTTAACTTGTCAAGAAAGCTTTTAAGAAATAAATAATTATTTTTTAAAAATTAATTTTTACCAAGCATGCTAATGGTTTGTCCCAGTTCAAAACAGGCCTACAAAATGTACATAAACATGTTTCCATAATAACTCTGAGTTAGCAATCTTATATGGTTGTAAATTTGTAACTAAGTCAATTACACAAAGCCAACCAAACAATTAACTGAAACTAATTTTAAGCATTGTGAATTTGTAAGCAAAAAATTCTATCACATCAGTAAGATAACAAAATAATGTGGTAGCTTGCCAAAGTTTCATTTATTAAAAAAAGGGGGGGGGGGGGCGGCAAGCAAAATGGGCTCCTTAAGTATGATTACTGACTAACAAAGAACAATGTTGGCCATTTTTTTAGCGCATAATGAGAAGTTTCATGTAGCAGTTATGTCCCAATGATGATAAGAGGGCCAAAGGGCCATGGCTTTGACTGAAGAGCTAGGTGTAATAGAGCTAAAAAGTAAAATGTAACACCAAAAAGTGGGAAATTCTAGTTGCTTGAGGAGCAAAGAATTCTTTTATCTAATCATGTCGCTTGTCCTCATAACGACATTCCCCATCTATGCATTTCATCTTTGATTGTTTCAACTTTCAATCCAAAGCAGATGCCACTCAATAACACTTCCCTATCCCCCTCTTTTAGCTCATCAAACCCCCCTCTTAGCTAGCACCCAAAATGAGGTGTAGGTGGGTCTTTACATTTAATAAAACAAACACAAAAAGATACCAACTCCAACTCAAAAATAAACTTCAAAATTGGAAAACTATGCTACTTAATCACATGACCTTTCTTCAATTTCATTAAAGGAGAATGCACATCCCCAAACTTTACAATACACACAAAATTATTGGTCTCTAAAATAGCAGTGCTTGTTTTGAATCTTTTATAGAGCAACAATATGCAAATAATGGAGTATAGAATAGAATTGAATTCAGCAACATAATTAATTAGTCTTTGACATAAAAATGGAAACAGCATGCAGCTTCTCATTTTTTTTAATTTCTTTAGCCATGCATTATGGTTCCACTCTATATGGAATGTAGGGAGCATATAATGACATTCTCCCTCATATTTTCACACAAGAAGGAGTTGCAGCCTCATATATTACCTTTTTCTAGCTCATCCTCTTCACTTCCTACACATGAAAGCACTGATATATGTTTGCTTTGTGTCTCTCTTTATCCGATCCCTTCCACGTACGCGCAGACACATAATTAACATGATAGGATCTCATATCAACTTCTAATGGAAGCTTGTACAAAGTGATGATGAAAGGGGCAAAAATATACATGCAGTTCATTCTATATTTTAAGGGAAAATTAAAATATATTCTTTCTTTTTTTTAATAGGAAAAAGTAAAACACTTTATCTAAATTAAATTTATTTACTTTTTTAATCAAAATTCAATTTGGCAAATGCTGCAAAATTTGTTTGAAAAATGGAAAAGCTAGGCTTTTGCGTAGGAAATTGAAGCTTTTTTATTTGGAAGTCAAATGGTACTTTTCGTGTCAATTTTGTGAGAAATTTATCTTTCACATTTTTTTTTGTCAATTACATTATAATATTTCATATACTTCTTTGAGCTACTGTGTTCCAGTACATATGATGGACCCTCTGCGCAAGAATTAAAACATCGTGCGCACGGGTGAATGGAGTAATTTTCCACCTCAAAAATTGTGCAGAACTTACATGTTTAGAAATTATCGTTTCTGAAAAACAAAATTCTTTTAGAAAAACTATTTAAAATGTGGTTATATTTCAATATATATATATATATATATATAGGCACATTTTATATATTTCATTTTTATTAGTTAATTTTTACGTGTGTACATATGTGAGATGAGAAATGAAATATGACATATATGAATATAATTTTTTTTATCATAAAATTATATAGAGGCGGTTAAAATTAAATTTATCTTATATTTAATTTTAATTTTTCACGTTGTCGTGTTATATGCTCTATGTTATGATATGTGTGTATCTTAATAAAAAAAAATATATTATCATTTTTTTTTCGGTTGAACAACATCACTTTTTGTATCTGGAAATGGTTATTATGAAGGAAGGTCCATAAGATAAAATAGGATAAATATAATTTATTTATTATTTCATTCAAAGTTTTAGCAAGTTTAAATTTGATTTAATCAAATTTTAATAATATAAAAAAAAATTAGACCAACTCAATTTATTAACATAATATATAAGTTTTAACATTATATATAACCAAATTATAATTAAAAATATGGAACTAAAATTATAATTTTTTTTATAATATGCATTTGAAAGCAATCATTTTAATATAAGTGTAATACTATATTTTGAATAATGTTATCAATTAAGTTAAAATATATTTATTAATCATATATAATTATTAAAATAAGTATTTGAATAACTATTAAATATATGAATTAACTAGTGAGAGATTATTCTAACTTAACTAATAATCTCGAATTTAAATATTAATAAATGGAATTGTGTTAAATATTTAGATAAAGAACTTTACTTAAGAGAAAATATGTGTAATCTAAGAAAAATTGAGACAATCGAAAGAAAAATAAGAAATTATTAAATCAAAATTTGAAAATCAGGTTATTACCGCACTGATTTTAAATACATGCGTAAAATACTGTTGTTGAAAGATAAGTTTAAGGACACAAGACTTCTCAATTATTTATTAATATCACACAAAAATTAAGGTAATAAATAATAAGGATCAAAAAACAGAAATGAAACCTAAAAAATTGACTGCGTAAAACAGTTAAAGTTTATCAATTTAGTCGACAAATAAAGATACAAGTTTACTTTTAATATATTATCACTGAAAAATGTATATTATGAATTAAAATTATTTTAACATAATTATAATGAAAAATAGAAAAAAATGTATATTAATCAATATATTATAATTAAATTCATCAATATCAATTTCTACATAAGGAATAAAACAAAGAGATAATACTTAATTATTTACCATTTTGTAAAAGATTTTATGCGCTTTCAAATGGTAAGGCTATGGAGGTTGTTCCAATTTGGAGATGGAATTCAAATTGAATCTTCTCTCTAAAAAAATTTGGAAGTATGAAGGGTCCTATAAAGTTAAAATCATTATATGACATGTTGCTCGTGACTCTCTTTTAACTAATTCTTGTAACAAGGCTTCTAAGACAAGTATG